TCCCCCATGATCTCTCTATGTACGGCTGCCAGTACCACCCCACCACCAGCCCTCTCCCTCCCCCACTGACCTCTCTAAGGTAAGGCTGCAGGCCATAACCTCACCACCCCACCACCAGCCCTCCCCTCCCCCACTGACCCCTCTGCGGCGCGGCTGCCGGCGGGTGCGAGCCGTCGCTGCTGGGTGTTTCGGACCGCTCGTGGCCGGCGCCAGGCACGCGCCGTCGACCGGGCGGCGCGCCCGGCTGGCGCGCCTCCGTCTGCGGGCTGGCCAGCACCTCGACGTCCGACGAGGTGGCCGTCTCGATCTCGTCGGCAGACGTGTGACCCGACTCGTGCGGCGACACGCCGCGGCCGCCGCTGCAAACAGAGGTTGGTAAGAGTGCGGTGAGATGGCGGGGCGAGCGCAGTGCCAAGCCGCGGTCACTACCGAGAACGCCGAACTGGGAATAATGCAATGATTGAAGGACTGCAGGATGTCATTCAGCGTGAACTATCTCAGAGGCACCGTTTGCTGCAAACCTGTAGAGCACACCAATGAACATCAGAAAACTTCGCAGTGCGTCGGTACCCCTTGCCTTAACGTATAGAGCATTACTGTCCGCATGCAATATTCCTGATCATGGACGGATTAACTGCCCGAGTAAACCAGTAACTTTGACTTATTCCCAACGGGTTGATTGTGATCCACTTGTCACGCCACCTGCTGGCAGCCTCCCCCCCCCCGGCCTGTTAGACAGCGTGCTTACCGCCGCGATCTGGCCGCCCTGACCGGCCGGGTCCGTCGCTCACCTGTCGGCCGAGCCGGAGCTGGGCTCGGCGGACGTCTCGCGGGGCGGGCTGCCCGAGCCGTGCCGCTCCGGCGCGCCGGGTCCCGGCGGCGGCCCGGCCGGCGCGCCGCCCGACGGCTCCTCCGAGCCCAGGCTGCAGCTCGCCGGCCCGATCGAGTCGTTCGTCACCGTCTCCGCCGATTCGTTGAAGGAGGTAAAGTGCTCCAGTGAGTCGCCGCCGGTCACAACGGGTTCTACTGAGTCGCTGCTCGTAGCAGCCTGCTCCCCGGAGTCGCCGCTGAGGACAGCGGGCCCCACCGAGTCACTGCTGGCGACGGCAGGCTCCGCCGAGTCCGAAGTGGAGCTGACCGGCCCAATCGAGTCGCTGGTCGAGCTGACGGGCCCCGCGGAGTTTTTCGTAGAGCTAGTCAGCTCGACGGAGCCATCTGTTGAGCTCACCGGCTCCACAGAGTCATTTGTGTTGCTAGATCCTTCCACTAAGTCAATGTTTACTAACAGTTCTTCCGAAGAAGGCGCGTTCTCTTGTCTGGCAGTGCTTGGAGACGCCAGAACTTCCACTTCCGGTGACGTCAGATTTCCGACGTCCGGTGACGTCAAAGGCTCAGCGTCCGGTGACGTCAGATTCCCGACGTCCGGCGAAGTCAAGACTCCAGCGCCTGATGACGTCCGATGCCCGCCATCCGGCGACGTCAGAGGCTCGGCGTCCGGTGACGTCAGCGGTGTGACGCCGCAGCCGAGCCGAATGAACGACTCCGACGAGCTGCTGTCGCCGGGCGACTCCGTGACGCGTCCGAAAGGCGCCGCCGCCGTCGTCAGACAGGCGGCGCCACCGTCGGCCGACACCAGCGTGTGGCAGCTGGAGTTGGAGCTGTGCAGACTCTCCGCCGGCGCCTCGCCGCCATCGAGGCCGACGTCGGCCTCGTCCAGCACCTCGATCGACTCGGGCGTGCCGGCGGTGCCGGGCGAGAGCGGCTGCGGCGCGGAGTCGGAGGTGGACGGCGCCACCACCAGCACGCTGCGCTGGAAGCCATCCGGCGAGGGCGAGTCGGCGCGCAGCGCGGCCACGTCGCTGGCCGGGCCGCCGGCCGGCTCACCGCCGCCCTCGTCCCAGCCGACGGCGTCGTCCGCCGACGCGTCCCAGCCATCGCCAGCCGCCGCCGCCGCCGTCTCTGCCCGGGGGGGGGGGGGGGGGCGGGGGAAGGGGTCAGGCCGTGCCTGCCCCGGCCAAACAAGCGTCGCCAGGAAGGCACCACCGTGGCGGAATACGGCTCCTGCAATCGACCGCCCCCGCTGACGGCAGGGTAATGTACGGATCACCCAGGTACGCCGGGAGCCAATGTCGGTGAGGTGAGGTGTCGCACCAAACTGTCCTGATCCGCATACGGGACGGAGACGTCAATCTCAACAGCAGCTCATTGCTAAAACCAAGCTGCCTGGGTCGCACGGGTCGTCCCTGGCAACACACATTCCACCAGCCTATACCCCCCCCCCCCCCCCCCAAAGAGCAGAGCATTCTATGACCACACACCAGACATCACTGGGTTTTACTGTGCGGCTTGGACGTGGTGCTCGCCGCGGACGTGAACAGCGCTAGCTGGGAAAGACGGACACCACCCATAGCTGTAACGGCCGGACGCCACGTGCGCGCGCGCCAGTTCAGGTCAGGGCAAGGCACGTGGCGCGAACTGGCAAGAAGGACGGACACCACCCATAGCTGTAACGGCCGGACGCCACGTGCGCGCGCGCCGGCCCGGGTCAGGGCAAGAAAGGTGACGCGAGCTGGGAAAGACGGACACCACCCATAGCTGTAACGGCCGGACGCCACGTGCACGCGAACCAGCCAGGTCAGGGCAGTGTATCGGGCAGGAGAACTGACAGCGAGGCACCCCCAGACGACACGAGACCGCTCAGCGGCGGCGACGGCCACTGCGGCGCTCACCAAGAGCGGCGAGGCCGTTGGTCTGGCGGGCGGGATCGTGGGGGCCGGACGCGCCAGCCGAGGAGGCCGGCTGACCCTCTACCACCGGCGACTCGCCTGCAACACGACACCACATAAGACGTCATCACCCAGCACAGCACACGGGGCCAACGGGGCCGAGAAGGCCGGCCCGGCGGTGGGCTACGTGGCAGGCGGGGCGCCGGTCAAACGCCAACTTTCTGCGTGCGGCGGACAGCGTTACCGCACGGGAACTTCGGTAACTCAGAACTTCAGGAGCTTCGGCAACTCAGAGCGACACTTCCAGGACTCCGCGAGGCGATGTTGCAAAAAGCACAAACAATGTGAAAGCTCAGCTCAATACTCTCAACATGATGCAATGTACGTTAAAGGAAATGTTTCACATTTGAAGGTACTGAAGTAAGCACCAGATATGATGAAACAAGCTCACTCATAACTCTTGGTACACTTTCCATGTGGAAAAGACTGCTCCAGACAGCACAGTTATCTGTTTAGCAAACATGCCCCTCCATGAGTCACGGTTTGATTATATCATTGTACTTCACACAACATTGACTGAGAGCCAGGCCTTGGTCAGCTGCATGCTGGCTCAAGGTACGAACAGGATTTGAATGACGTTATTATGATGTCATGAGTGCCAAGGTGGCTTTAAAATACTCTCCCCATTTTCGCGGGCGTGTAGCTCAGAAACTGTAGGGGGGGGGGGGGGGCTTAGGTCTTAACAAAGGCAGGGCTGTAAATAGCACTGAAAGGTCTTCAATATGGCTATTTCAGTTCAAAACCCCATAGAAACATGGAGCACTCCCTTTAATTTTAAGTTGCTGAGTCACTTCAGGCATCACAAAAGACTCATGTGACCTAACATCAGCACCCACGCAATCGTCGCTGAACACAATGCTGCAGTGAACATTTGCCACACCACACATCCTCAAGTCAGCTTCCTGGCCATCCCCCATTGATCACCCAGTGTGAGACAGGTGCGTGGGGGCCGATGCGGGACGGGGGCGGTCACCTGACTGGGAGTCCTTCAGCAGGGAGGCGCCGAACGAGCCCCAGAGCGAGCTGGCCGAATGGTCGGACACGGTGGCCACATCGCCGGAGCTGACCGACGACGAGCCCAGACCAAACGCCGAGAAGAAACTGTCCGAGTCCCCTGCCGCCGCCGGCACACCCGACCGTCAGCCGTGCGACAGGCTCACTTCAGTTGCATAATGTGTGCAGAGTGGCATGGATACATCAGTACCATCTGATTGGAAATGCTCAGGTCGATGAGACTCATCAGAGATGATCAAGTTTTGGCTCAATTGCTAGGAGCAACTTCTCCACAAACACAGGAACATGTGTCTAATAACCACAGAGATCCAAAATATTAACTAGACAAATCAGGGCCCCATTTTCCCCAGTAGATAACATTCTAGTGACCATAACAAAGTATGTTCCAGGAATGCCTCTGCCAAGTCAAACTCAAATAGCATTACCTTTGTCTTTGCTGTCACTTTCAGGTCCCTTTTCATCCACAGATTCCAAGTCCAGGGCCTTATCAAAAGTTTTCTGGGCCTCTTTGAGTGCTGACTTTGCCAAACTGGCAAAGCCAGCAGTGTCAAACCAGCTCATCTCTGGTGTTTGCTGAAATGGGCAACATTGTTACACACCATCAAAACAAGCATCTGCAGCATGCATTATATGCTATCATACAATATCACCCTTGTGAACTGAGAAGCATATGTAAACCCACTAAGCACATACTGCAGAGTAGCCTGAACAAAATGTTTTGAGAGCAAAAAGTCAAGCAGGCCTCTACAAGCAACACGCAACTAACAGCTTCTTATCTTCATCAAGGTATCTTGGAGAATAAAACAAGACCCAGGAGGAGCAGACCCAGTTCTGGTGGATTTCTAAATGGTTTGTGACCATGTGACATGACTTTGTGTCACTGAATCAAGTCACAGTGTGATAGTACTTGAATACCTTGAATACTTCTGCATTTACATAAATCTAATACCCATTATTAGGCACTCCCTGCCCCTCTCATCATGGAGAGCAGCCAAAGCCATTAGTTGAATGAATGCTGCAAAATTTACAAACCACTGCTTCCTGAATTAATTTGCATAGGTACTGGGTAGGATAACATGTATCCTGCTTCATCATGCAGCTAACCCAAGTTTACTTAACCCTATAATTCCCACTGAAAACTGGCAATAGGCATGTTTGATCACTGCTAAACAGCACAGAATCTATCTTGTACCATGTGATGTAGGTGCATTGCAGTTTTATTATGGAAGCACAATGTATATCCAGCAGTACTGGTGGGAGCTAAAGTGCACTAAAAATCATTAACTGTAATCCTGGTGTACTATATCACACTTTCCTCTGCATATTTATTTCCTTGCATCAACAATCATCTGAAACTCTTATGTCATGGCTGTCTCAGATCAAATACACATGGCTAATGAGACTGTATGCCTTATATCAGACTTACTCTTGAGCATAAGTAAAAAAACAACTTTATTTTCATCATGTCCAAATCACTGCAGATTTTTCTCTGAAAAGGACATAGCCATAGAAAGGCACATATACTGTTATGTTCATAGTCTGCCAACTTCAATGTAGACTGAGGCCAGCTCACAAACATCTATATCATTACATACACCTGTACATAAACATCTGCATTATTACATAAATAAAAATCCCATGTAAGATATAATGAAGGTCATACAGAGGGTAACCATCAAAACTAATATTGCTGGAATTGAATTCAACAATTAGTGATCATGTAACATCACATCACAGTTCATTCTGCACCATATATGTTTGTTTTGCAAGCTTTAGGAACAATTCAACCTGCCAACAGTTACTGAGGCCCTTGGCTGCAGCTGGCCCTGCCACCTCCAGGCCCATGACCTCAAAGGACTCCCAATTGCTGCAAAGTAAGTCAAAACTATTTCCACATGCACAATCAAGTGAATTTTTCTGGCATGTGAATATCATGTAAACTTTTGTCATGCTTTTCTATGCAATTAAGGATACACTTTGCATCATTTGGACTAACCAAACACCAGGTGACAACCAATGTGGGCTGCAGTAAGCAGAAATAAAAATACAAAATGAGTGCAAATGCATACAACACATAGATAATAAATCAAAGAAATGTAGGCAGTGATCAAAGCTTGTTCCATCTCCCACATATGATCTATGTTCGCATACTTGTCATACTTCTGCATTACCGTAAAATGCATCGATAGACAACTGACAAGGCATTATGATCCAGTCAGGGTTGGCATGCTCGTCCGCGCAATCACAACCCTAATTGTACTCGTTCATACAATTCTCAAAACAATCCATAAATGTGATAGTCAAGTTTGTTTACAGTTGGACTAAAATGATCTCCACGCTTTGCTTACAACATATGTCGTGGAAAACTGGAGCAACCCCCGACCGCCACCTCGCACCACGAGTGAAGTGAAGTAGCAGAGCGATAGCTTGCAAAACAAACCGATTGAGTTCATAGCATGCCATGCCCTAAATACAGTTATTTCGTAGGCGTAGAATTCGATGTATGAAGCGTCAAATACTCATGCTATTTGTATTCCCGATCGGCACTTACCACGTCAATTCGTGCGCTTGGTTTGTCTTGGTGCCATATACGATGCTACCGAAATGCGTCTTTTTATTCCGGTGGATCACCACTGGCGGAGAAAATCCGCTGCAAAGTTGACAAATAAGTTATTTGCTGGACGTCCGTAAGTTTGCACCAGATTCACATTCACATTCAGGCCCATATTCGGAATTCAGCAGACTCCCAGATTGGCCTGAAACATTGTATAGAGACGCAGTTTGGTAGATGTGTACGCATTTGCATGTTCCGCTGATCGGGAGGGTGGTGATTGGGGGAAATTTTGAGAATCATCGCCTCGTCCAAAGGCGTTACGCTGTTGCCGGGACACTGTATTTTCACTTGCCGGGCCAATCCAATCGCTAAGAAGCTTTCCACGTTGCTTCGATCTCTTTGCATTTTCTCGTAGGACCCTACGTTGCTGTTGGGACACTACCTGCTAACATGCCTGAGCGTTCTTGATCGATCAACAAGGGGGCAAACTGACCCATCTTTTGAGGCGGGGCAAAAGCGTCTTTGCCCCCCCCCCCCCTCTTAATTTCAGGTGGCCCAACATGGGCCCCGGAGTATGTGGTAGCACTTGTTTATTGTGTTACCAAAACAAGCGTAGACGGCCGATATCTGGTCAAGAAAGGGTCCATCTCAAGCGGAAGAAAATTGTTTCGTGTCCGTGAAGGGCCCATCTAAATATGGAAATACCCCATTTCCAAGCGGAAAAACACATCTCAAAGAAACGCTCGCTCACGTCACTTACAGGCACGGTAGGGGCCTCTTTCTGGCCTGGAAAGGGCTTATTGTAAGGTCAACAAGGGCCCACTTCAGGTTGGTAAAAGGGCCCGTCGCATGCTCAGAGAGGGTCCTCTGCGCCCCTCTGTCTGAAAATGGTCCAACATAAACTTACAAACTACTCGTCTCAAGTCAGGTAGGGACCCAGAAAAAACTGAAAAGTGGAGAACATTAGGCTTGGCAAAAGCCTCTCTCACTCTTGGGCCTGGGAAGAGCCCATCTCTGGTCTGGAGTGGGCCCATCGTAGCCCCAGAAAACCAGTGGTGGTGTATCCGCCGGGTAAACTGTCCCCATGCATGAGGCAAGGTCCAAAACTATCTTTTTCTCCAATATTTCTCGCCTATATTAGGTCCCACAAGCCCCATCTTACCAGGGGAAATGCCAAAGTTTTCATACAAGGGGTGAGAGCGGCACACAGCTGGATAAAGGTCTCCCAGTAAAAAGGCTCCCCCAAAATCGTCAGACTTGGTCCATTTTATTTCGAAGGCCCTGATTTTCTTCATTTGTCATCATCATGCCGACGAATACGTTCGTTGGGGGGGGGGGGGGGGGGCAGTGGATTGAATATTAAGGAAACTTCCCCTTATCTTTCGTGGACAGGGAGCCTCGTAAGTAGAACACTAGGGAGTCTCACTGCCTTTCCTCGCCAGGGGTTGAAAGGATTTCCGTTCAACCCGCCACCCGGAGTACCTGCCGGATACTTTTCAGGAGACACGGTAGTCGGGGCCCCTGGTCGATCAGCAGAGCAGCAGAGAGATGCATTATGCATTGATCCTCTCCCTGACACGGAAGGCCCTCAGACCGGAGCAGTTGATCCTGGATCGATGCAGGGGGCCTCATTGATCCTAAAGCATCACTTACCGACACAGGAGGTCGAATAATTGGCACGTCCCCCCCCCCCCCTTAGCTTCCGAGGGACACTTCGGGCCCCTCGGGACCTACGATTAAGGGCCCGAAGGGTCCGAAGCGCCGGCCGAAGGTCGTATCAAGGGGGCCCGCTTGCAGGGCCTGGTACTCCAATGCGCGTTGATCAGGGCCCCTGAGCTCATAAGGGCCTATATATTGATCAGGCACCAGCGGTAACCCGCAGTCATCTCCATGGCAGCATGGGCCTAAGGACCCATTTCCCAAGCAGGGACAAAGCAGGAGCCAGTGATTTACATTGATCGGGACTCCACAGAGCCTGAAAGCGGCCCTGTGCTGGCAGGGGGCCCCAAGTCGGCCAGAGGCGGTGTTTGAGAAGGCCCGTAAAGCCCGGAGGGCCCACCGGGTCCGACGAACAAGGGCTCGATCGAAGGGTCTGGGGCACCAGGGGCTGGTCGGAGTCTTATTCAGGGGCCCCTGCCTGCGGGCTCGGACGCTCAAATGACAGTCAGTGGTCGGACCTTTTGTACCTATCAGGGACACCCTGAGTCGATATGGGTCTGCAGGTCGGTCAGGCACCACCAGTACCGCACAGCCTGCTCCGTATCGGTATGGGCTTGAGGGCCCACTTTCCAATCATCTACAAAGCTGGGGCCAGTGATTTACATTGATCGGTGCCCATATATCTGTCAGGGGCTCACAGCGCCTAACAGGGGATGCCGTGCTCGCAAGGGGCCTCGAGGCGGCCAGGGGCAGTGTCCGATAAGGCCCGAAGAGGGACCCAAACGGCCCAACGGAACATACTATCAAAGGCCCGGTTGGGGGGTTTGGGGGCCCGAAGGATTGGCTGTAGGTAACATAAAGAATCGCGGCCCGTAGGGTCGTGACCTGAGGCCTCCTTGTGCCGTTTGAGGGCCTCCTGAGACAATGCGGGTGTCTAACTCGGCCAGGGACACGGACACCGAACGGTTGGCTCCCTGTCAGTCCGGACCATGGGGGCCCATTTTCCAAGCAGGAGCAGGACCGGGGGCTACAATTTGCATTGGTCTGGGTCCCTCAGACAGTGGGTGGGGCCCTTTTGTCGGTCAGAGCCCACAGTGCATAACAAGAGGTTATGCGTCGGCTAGTGGCCCTAGTCGGTGACGCAATTTGTTTGAAGAAGTCCGAGGAGGGGCTGGAGGGCCCCTCGTGACCAAAAATCAAGGGCTAGATTGTACTCGAAGCCGGTCCCCGCCCGTAGCGCTATTACCTAAAATGTCAGTCAGAGGGCTTCTGTTAGGGCCATCTTACTGGAGTTCTCTATCTCTGTCATAAATGGCCTCGACACAAAGAGTCGGCTCCATGCATCTGTGAGCCCCTGAGATCCATTTCCCGAGTCAGCCAGGGGTGGTATTTGAAGGGGCCCGAAAAGGAGCCGAAGGGTCTCTTAAGATAAAAAATAAAATGCCCGATTCGAAGGCTACACGGCCCAAAGGGCTTGCTGCAGGTCACACTAAGGACTCCGCCCGTAGAGCCGTGATCTTAAACGTCGGTTGGAGAACCCCTTGCACCAGTTGGGAAGCCCTGAGAGAGAGAAAACTAGGGGCCCATTTCCCAAGCATGGACACGGCCGGGCGTGCGATTTATATTGATCAGGGCCTCTGTTACAATGCGGGCTCCTGTATCGTCTAGAGGCCCACAGTGCCAAACAAAGCATTCTGTGTCAACAAGGGGGCTCGGGTCGATCAGAGGAAGACGTGCTCAACAAGGGCGGTGACGGGACCCAGAATGACAGAGGTCTCTTGCCTTCGTCTGGGCCCTCTGACAATGAAAAGAAACAAGATAGTTTAGGATGACTGTTCACATTGAGGCAATGGAAGGGTCCTATACCAGTCAGGGCCCCCCGTACCGAACGTTGGAGTCTCCAGATCGGTCAGGGAAACCCACCGCGTGTCGCCAGAATGGCAAGCGGAAGACGCTGCGAGGTGAGACGCAGTGGTCCTTCAGCCCCTGGCTGGGAACTATAATGTGCCCTTTGTGTTTTACTTAAGGGGCTCATTTCTGGAAAGAAATCATGGGTCTCATTGATGTTGAATAAAGTGTATATATTGTATTGGAAATGAGGTAAAAAAAAACAACGAGGCCACCGCCCGTTCGCCTGGGAACGTTTATTCTTTTACAGAATCGACTAGTGAGACTAATTATCAAAAGTTTTCAGTCTGCGCGCCCGCAATGGCGGACACAAGGACAGCGGTAGATTGCGTGGCAGTGTCCGTTTAACCGAACGGCGTCGGCCACCGCAAGTAACACCAGGCGGCGGGTGCCGCGCGCGCGAGAGCGACCGTCGTGGAACAGTACTTCCGAATATCTTAGACAATTTATTCGTGCCCTTCAAAGAACAGGTTGGGCGTATCTTTTTCAAGTTTGATGCTGTCTTCTTGTCAGATTAGCAGTTACTGCAACACAAAAAATAGAGATTCTTCCTTTCCTCCTCCAGTTCTATCACCAGATTCCAACACCACTTTGTGGTGCTGTAAAGGCCAATCCGTTCAATCCGTCAATCTAAAAATCGCACAGGTGAAATATACGTCCAGCTACATTCCAAATGTACTGTTTGACATCCCGAAAGCGTTGAAAGGTGCGTCTGTAAAATATGTCATCATTTTTGTCCACTGGTTAGCGACGGCTCAGTGTTCATCACGAGGACAGTGCTGTGTGACCCACGGAGACTGCAATGCCTGGCGTCAAGGCTGTTATCGCTAAGAATTGCGAGCGCGCAAGCTGGAAACTATGTTACACAATATTTTATCACTAAACAATTCTGACCCCATGTTGAACATTTCCAGACAGACATCGTCTGGGTACGTTAATGCAAATTGCTGAACCATTTGGATCTACATTTACGGGGCCCTTAATATCTCTGTACAGCTCATATAATGATTCTTACAAGGCTTCGAGTTCTTTTGACTTAGGAGGGGTCCACTGGAAAATTATAAAACGAAGGGCGCTGGATATTTATTTCATGCAGTTGTTTAAAGCATGATTTCTTCAGCTGATGACGGCATAGCATTCCGGCGGAATTGATCTCGCGGTAGCTCTTGGTTTCTTTTCCAGTTACACAAGGTAAAAATGAAAAGATAAAGCAAGTCTTCATTAAAAATGGGCCATATTCGCCAATTCTCTTTTGGGAGCCTCTTCGCTATCAGGGGCCTTTTGT